TTTGTGATATGCTTGTTTAGCTTGCATAAGTAGTTTGATTCTTTTGATATGCTTGCAGCAGCTACATATTGCTAAGCCCTCAGCTTTTTCGATCAAACACTTTATTCGCAAAGAAATGTTTTCTATATGCCCAAGGCAATAATTAGAAATAAAAGCTTTTAGATAATAGAACAGAAAATTAGTCTAACAGCCCATCGAACTTCCTCAAGCCAACTCAAGATAAGATTTACTTTGTTCATTCAATTCTGAGGCGCAAAGCTTTTCAGCGACAGCTTCCACAAGTTGATGCTTAAAGCTCTTTGTTCGCACATCGCACAGCACTTGAAGTGCAGTATAATTTCACAGCTTTCATTCAGTGTCATTCAGAGATTGGCAACGTTTGCAATTCATTGTCAAGTGCATGGCCAAAGCGTGTTGTTTTGGCCGCCTCGCTAAGCTCAACGTCGGCAGGGCCTGGCCACGCCCACGTCGCGCCTCCGCTATTGTTTGTTTAATTAACGCGGCTCGGTTCCCGGCCACTGGCATTTGGCCAACAATTGAAGCCGCTGTTGCAGTTATATCAACAACATTTTTCCACCAATCTTTTTGCTTCTTCTGTGTTGTTTTTTTTAGACGCTTTGTTGACTTTGGCCTCGCCGTCAGATAAACCCGCAGTGGTAGCTACAAAAAAAAACAAAGAATACATTCGTTTTGCGTGTTTGATTTCTTCTCTTTTTTCACTCTCTGTTTTACAATTTGCCAACAGTTTTTTGCTCGTGTTTTGTGCACGCGTAATTAAAAATTCATCATACGCCACGTTGGCGCTGGCGTTGGAGCTGGTGCAACAAAAAACCGCACAACTTAATGAACTTTAAAGTTTTTGCAGCACGCTAATTGGAAAACAATTAAGGCACGCCAGTTAGCCGCTGAAATTAAGCTATAAAGTCAAAGGATTTCAAGGATATATCTAGCTGGAGCTGCTGCTGCTGCTGCTGCTGCTGCTGCTGCTGCTGCATCAGCCCACAGCAAAAATCCGCAAACTTTGCGCGAACGTTGTCAAAAACTCGGATGGCTGCAAAATTTATGGACACAGAGCAGAGTATATATATTTATATATATATATATATATATGGCAAATATAAAGGAAATATGTAACATATACGTGAGCTTTGCTTAAAGTTTTTCTTGTTTAACCTTTATAAATATGTTATGAGAATCACATAGAGAGGTGGAATAAACGTATGTGCCAGTAAGATAATGTTGATGATGAGAGAAAAATAGAAAGTGAGACATAGAGAGGGGAAGAGAGAGAACGACTGAGAAAGAGACTGTGAGCAACTGGAAGGCAGATCGTGAGAACGCAACTCCGCGCTGAGCTCTATCAAATGAGGCAAAAGTATCATGTGGAATAAAAAAGGTAATACAAATGTGAAAAGGAGTATTGGCTCCTTAAACAATGTCAAGATTAATTAAACACTTTCTTGCCAACAGAGGTATAGAGCAGCCTGCTTGAAGAAGAGAACATGAAATGTACTTAGTTAACAACTTAATTTAAATATCAAAAGCCTGTAATAGAAAAAGCCTATGGAGCAGCGTTTAATAAACTCATTTGACAAGTTAATCTTACAATATTCATCATCATCATCAACATCATCATCGTCATCGTCATCGTCATCGTCATCAAAATGCACAACAGTTGCCTCTGCATGCTCATAACTTTTGAAGGCAATAGGAAACTTTGCCACTTGCCACTTGCCGCTAGCCACTTTCGCTCGCTTTCTAACTCTCCCTCCTTCACCCTCTCGCCCTTCTCGCCCTCTCTCTCTCCCTTGCTAGTTATCTTGTAAAATGTTTGCTGTTGCTTAGCCGCGCAAAAAGCCGCTGTTTGGCTTTGCGGCTGTTACAGTTGTTGTTGCTTTTGTAAGTTGTTGCTTGTTAGCCCTGTTTGCCGGCCTTGTTCTCCAAGAACAAACAAGAAGTGTAGCACAAATTTTGGAAATTTGCTCGACCAGCGATTTGGTTAGAACGGGGGCAATCGGATGCTGCCCAGCGGTCAGGTAATTGAAAAACTTTCAACTCAAATAAACCAACAGCTCGGTCTTTTTTCCCAAGCCCTGTTAACTTAATCAATTGTCGTTTTAAGGCTGGCCAAAAACTGGGCCAACGGCGCATCAATTGGCTATTTTGGCATGTTGTCGCCATTTCCATGGCAGTGGGGCAGCGTTGCAACCACATCCGGCACGGCGCTGCCGCTCACGCACGTTCGCACGTTCCGCGATGGCAAAAAACGGAAATGCACAAATCACAGACGAGGCAACGTGCAGTCGCGCTCTTTGTTGCACGCAGCGAAACGTAACGGAAATATGCGTGCAACATACCATATGCGAACGAGCTAGCCAACGCGTTGCCAGCAAACAAAAATCCTCTGCAAAACAGAGGAAAAAAAGCGGAAAGTGAAAATAGCAATATGAATTATGTCAAGCGGGCATAGACGACCACCGAATGCCCTGCTTAAAGGTATTGAATTTCAGTTTAACTTTGAGTATGCTTTAAATTTAATGTAGGATCTAATTGAGCTCAACAGCATCATACTGAATCATTAAGCGAACTACGTATAGGTATAGAAAATATACTTATATAAATTACTTATATAAATTATATAAAGACTGTGTTTATCCGCCTAATGAACAGGGTTTATATACTCAAACTCATTTTCTTAGCTACTTACTTAATTATTAGATAGTTCTACTTTTTCCTATTCAAAAGAAATATTTATATCTTTTGCTTAACGGCTGCACTCACTCGCTTTTCTACAGTATCTTTACTCCAATCATATATTCCTTCTGTTCTTGAAATTTAATATTTCATACATGTTTTTGGGTCTAGTTTCCAATTCGTAAGTATATTCGTCTTTTTCATAGACATTTGTTTATCCATTTTAATTTTTTTTCTTCTTTTATCTCCATTTCATTAACTTTTCGAGCCTCGGCTCTATCTCTCTTTTAAGTTTTTTTTTCTATTATGACTTCTCTCTCTTACTTTCCACTTTCCCAGCTCTCTCTCGTTGTACATTTTGATCACAACATTTCTTTAATTCTCTTGAAACTTATTAAAGTAATTTCTGTAATTATAAAGTAAGGTAAAAGTCTTAATTACTTCTTGCTCTCCTATCATTTTCTCTCTCTCTCTCTCTCTCTCTCTCTCTCTCTCTCTCTCTCTCTCTCTCTCTCTCTCTCTCTCTCTCTATCTCTCTCTCTCTCTCTCTGTCCCTCTCTGTCTTTCTCTCTCTCTCTCTCTCACTCTCTCTTTCTCTATCTCAGTCTTTCTTTCTCTGCCTCTCACTTTCACTCGAACCCTCTTTCTATATATATTTGCCTCTTTCTCCATCTCGTACTCTATCCACGTATGTTTCATTCACTTTTATTCTCCATCTCTCTCACACTTTCTTGTTCTCTCTCTCTTTAGCTGCCTTTCCTTTTCACAATGTCTCACTCTTCATCCCTCTCTCTTTCCTTTTAATGGCAGTCGTTCTATTCGATTCTCAAGAACTAAAGTTAAGTATAATCTTTTTCTCATGCATTCACTTTAATAAATACCAAATAATAAATTATAATAAAAGCTGAAACTAATTTCAGAAGTGGCAAATGAGTTCGAGATTATTCATAAGTCAATTAACTTTTTACCAGCTTATTCAAGTGTAAGTAAGGGCCCACAAAGGCACGCTCCCAATAAACACTCAGCTAGTGTTAGGGTACGAAATGCAGGCCCATTCAGTGCAAGTCACACAAAAAGTGTGGAAGGCAAAGTAAAAAGCGCAACCAAAGCAAAGTTGACTACTGACACACATATGAATGCTGTCGGATGCTACCAGTAGAAGCTGCCACACAGCGAGAGATAGAGAGGGAGAGGGAGAGGGAGAGGGAGAAAGCGAGAGGCATTTCTTTTTTACTTTATATTTTGTTAGTTCCTCTTTTTGGTTTGGCCTGTTTACACATGTTATGGCCAACAGCTCGGCGGCTGCTGCTGCTGCTGCTGCTGCTGCTGCTGCTGTCAGCAACTTGGGCGCAATTGAAACTTATGAAATGCAAAATTTTACACCCAAAAAAGAGAATTGCAAAAAATGGGGATCAAAAGAGGAGAGGCAGGAAAAACAACACGACGGGCAGCAATAACAAACGTGGCATCAAGATGGGCGAAAAAAAATAAAACAAAATACGTTCCTACAACAATGCAAGTTAAACAAAAGTTTTATATATGCAACTTTCAGCGGAAGCGGAAACGCATGTTGCGCCATTGCAATGGCGGCTCGGGGCCATTGTATGGCGGCAGCTGGAAAAACCGAATAAAATCATGAATCAAAAAAGAGCAGAAACGAATCGTGGCAGAGAATACAAATGTTGTATTGTTTCATACAGACAAGTGGCCTAAATGCAATTCAATAGCTTAACTTTTGGCCATTGTTATGGGCTGCCGATGGATGCCCCAGAGGCAGTGGTAGTGGCGCGATGGGGGCAACGAGTTCAACGACTGCAAACAGAAGCTGAAAAGCATAATTAAAGTGTCAAAGAAAGATGCGCAAGGCAATTGCCGTTAGCCAAAGCCAATTAAACGCACAACAAAGCCAGCAACGGCCAATAGTTGGGGCAACAAACGAGGCGAGGCGAGGCGAGCCAATCATAAAGTCACTTGCTGCACGGAAATTGCAAGTTGCGGTCGGCAATGGCACGTGGCTAAGCGCTGACGTCCATAAGTATGCAACGGCTTTTGCGCAGCTTTCACTTCGAGCAATTCACAAAATTTTCCAAGCCGAACGGAAATTGCAAACTGCGGCTAAGACGCCGCTGGAACTGCAGCAAACTTTTCGCTCTCTTACAGATTTACTTAAAAGAAAATTGCGCTTTTATAATTATAGATATACACATAAATGGAATATGCTATATATTTATTACACACATATACATATACGTATACATATACATATACATATATATGTCTATAAACGTATATATATCAGAGGCAAGTTAAACAGACAACTGCACATACTGCGATTCGCTGTGCTCCTGAACTGGCTTCACCAGCTCCAATTCAATGTGATGCGATTCGTGCTGTGGCTTGATATCGAACTCAACATGTTGTGGCTTCTGTTCCTGGTGGATCTCCAGCTCAACATGCTGTGGCTTGTGCTGCTGCTTGATCTCTACTTCCATATGATGAGGCTTCTGTTCCTTCTGCTTGATCTCGACCTCAACGTGCTGTGGCTTGTGCTCTACATGCTGCTGCTTGATCTCCAATTCCACGTGCTGTGCTTCCGGCTGCTGCTGCTTGATCTCCACTTCCATATGATGAGGCTTCTGCTCCTTCTGCTTGATCTCGACTTCAACATGTTGTGGCTTCTGTTCCTGGTTGATCTCCAGCTCCACATGCTGTGGCTTGTGCTGCTGCTTGATCTCAAATTCAACATGATGGGCCTCTTCGTGCTGCTGCTTGAGCTCAACTTCCACATGATGAGGCTTCTGCTCCTTCTGCTTGATCTCGACTTCAACATGCTGAGGCTTTGTCTGCTCATGCTTGATTTCGAACTCCACATGTTGTGGCTTTTGCTCCTTCTTGAGCTCAACCTCGACAAGATGCTCAGGATGCTGGGGCTCAATATCTATTATCATCTGCTGTTGATGCTTCACGCCAAGAGGTCGAACCTCGGCCACAATATGGTCGTATTTGGAGTCATTCGCTTGGCTTGGCTTTGACTTAGTCTTGGCTGGCGGACCGGCACGTGCCAGCGAGAGGGCAACGCTGCTGCCCACCAGAGCAACTAAAACAATCAAAATGGCAGCTTTCATCTCGAGACGATGACTTCGAAAAGACTATGAGATGACTGTGGCCACATAGCTATTTAAATAGGCCAAAAATGGAGTGCAGGAAATTGAAGTTCAACATACGCCGTGTTATCAGCGAATCGAAACAAAAACGGCAGACAGTCAGAAACCGTGCCAATAACATGGGCAATTACATGTGATTAGATAAGACTTAGATGAGGCAGAACTCGACTGATAGTAAAAGTAGAAAACTCTAATTAAACACAAAAGCAAGTGAGAACGCTCTAGTCGGGGGTGCGCGACTAGGAGTTACCCGAACGCCGATTAATCTGCACTTGAACTCAGAACTTCCCTCTTGACTCGATCAATGGCACATTCAAATTATAGCAACATTCGACAATTCGAATGCAAATTGAAATGAATGCATTCATTTGAATGTATGTGTGCACATGTATAGGAAAAATATTTCCGCTTACCACTTGCTTCGACAAATTGATCAAACTCTTTGTTTAATAACTTCTGAGTTACTTAACGTATTTTAGTGAAATTTTCAGCATATGATTTACACATTCTATTGAATATTTGTCAGTTTTGCTCAAATACAAGCTCTGGCACATATTAGCTATATTTGCAATTGAATTACAATTTAAAGAATTTGGTGAATTTTTGGAGAACTTATCAAAAATATAACCAAAACCAAAATTGTATAAAATATGCATGAAACTAAGTGCAAGTTTGGGAGACTTTAGCTGCAAAGATGTACGAGATATAATTTAAAAAACTAAATTTCATTAACTAAATTAATCGATAAGCGATAAAAATAATTATCGATTATTTGTTTTGCGCCTACTTCTTCAAGTCTCTAGCTCTTATAGTTTCTGACTCAACTCAACTCATCGTCCTGATCAAGACTATAAATACTTTATAGAGTGTGCCACGTCCTCTTTCGCCTGTCACATGCCCTGAAACCGGCTCTCTTCATTGTTGCCTGCTTACTGATTAGAGTCTAGTTTCAATTTTAAGTTAAAGAAATGTCGCAGATGCACGCCAAATGATGCTCCCCACAGCTGACCAGCTGTAGCTGCCCTTGACCCGGTCAGAACTGCAGTTGCTTGACGTTCAAATGCTATGCACGACTGTGAACCACATATAGATAGATATTCGTCGGCTTGTGCACATTTTCGCAGCTTTATTTTCATATTCACTATTCCAACATTTTTCAAGCCGAACGGAAATTGCAAACTGCGGCTAAGACGCCGCTGGAGCTACAGCAAACTTTTCTCTCTTATATATTTACTTAAATGAAAATTGCGCTTTTATAATTATAGACATACATATGTATAAATGGAGTAAGGTATATATTTATTACACGCACATATATATATACATATATATATGCATAGACGGATATATATATATGTGCATTGCTTAAAACAGCTCCAATTGGAAGTGCTGCGATTCGTGTTGCGGCTTGATATCGAACTCGACATGTTGTGGCTTCTGTTCCTGGTTGATCGCCAGCTCAACATGCTGTGGCTTGTGCTGCTGCTTGATCTCAAATTCGACATGCTGTGCTTCGGGCTGCTGCTGCTTGATCTCCACTTCCATATGCTGAGGCTTCTTCTCCATCGGCTTGATTTCCACCTCAACATGTTGAGGCTTTGGCTCCTCATGTTTGATATTGACCTCAACATGCTGAGGCTTTGGCTGTTCATGCTTGACATTCACCTCTACAAGTTGAGGCTTTGGCTGGTCTTGCTTGATATTCACCTCCACATGTTGAGGCTTTTGATCCTTCTGGATATTCACATCAATATGATTCGTCATTTCATTCGATTGGTTGGGCTTTGGCGTATTCTTGACTGGCGGACCGGCACGTGCCAGCGAGAGGGCAACGCTGCTGCCCACCAGAGCAACTAAAACAATCAAAATGGCAGCTTTCATCTCGACACGATGGCTTCAAAAAGACTCTAAGAGGACTGTGGCACCCATTTCACTTAAATAGGCCTAAAACAGAGTGCGGCCAATTGGAGTGCAATATACGTCGAGTGAAAACCAAACGGCAGACAGCCAAGAACTGTGCCAACAACATGGCCAATTACACGTGATTAGATAAGATATAGATGAGGAAGCACGCAACTGATATTAAGAGTAGAAAACTCTAATTAAACACAGTAGTAAAAACAAGGCACTCTTCATTGTTGTCTGTTTACTGATTGCAGCCAAGTTTAAATTTTATCTTAATGAAATGTCATAAATGCGCACTAAATGATCCTCCCCACAGCTGGCCAGCTGTAGCTGCTGTTGACCCGGTCGGAACTGCAGTCGCTTGACGGTCAAATGATGTGCACGACTGTAAATTAAAGATAAATATTCGTCGAAATAGTTTATATAGCTTTACTGACGTTCGTTGATCGCACTCACTTTTTCTCTAGCTCACAGCGCAGCTGCCATTGGCCCTTGTGCAACTGATAGATCTTTATGCTGCCTCGCTCTGTGCCCAGTGCCAGGACATAAACGCCATCCTGCTTGTCCAGGAAGCTGTGCGCAAAGCTAACAGCTGTTATGGATTCCTGCTTGAGCTCCAGCGTGGCAGCTGCTTGCCAGCCATTCAACGAACTAGACGTTGACTCCTGTTCCGTCTGTGTCCAGGCCACGACTTTGCCCTCACGCGAGCTAGTCACAAAATATTTGCCATCGTGCGACCAATCGCAGGACCAAATAATGCGCGTATGCACTCCATTGCTGTTGTCCGTATTGGCCACCGGCACATAACTGCCGAGTGGCTCATCGGTCTGCTGTCGCTCGTAGAGGAACCAACGACGATCCCGCGAAACCGAGAGCAAATAGCGTGCATCTGGTGAGAAACGTAGCTGTGTGACGGTCAACTGATGACCAGGCAGCTTCTGTAGCTGCTTCCAGTTGGACGTATTCCTACAAGAGTTCGCCTTGTTAATAAAATGCCAACAGCTGGCAATCAGCGCTCAAACTCACCAGAGTATAATCTGTGCATGCTCAGCATTGCTGGCACGGCAGGTGGATGCGAGTAGCTGGCCATCAGCTGTGGCTGCCAGCGCATAGATCTCATAGCCATGGCCGTACAGCTTTTGCAATTCGGGCCACAGTGTGTTCTGCATCAAAGTCTCCTCCTGTGGCGGCGTTTGTAGTGTTATGGGCACAAAATAGTTATCCGGATACTCATCCTTGGCTGTCGTCGTCGCCTCAGCAGCTGTATCCACTTTATACACCGCCTTGTTTGAGAGTCCCAGCGACGGTACCGAAGCGCCTTTTGGCAGAGCTGATGATGCGGAACATAATTAAGTTTACTTAATGTATTTGCTTGTGTTTGCTATTTGTTGCCTCACTTCAGCAATAAGTGGAAAATTCTAACTAAACAAAGCTGCCAAAGCTTGTGAATAAGTCATAAATAAATGCTTTCCCTTTTCTATAGAATTTGTGAAAATATTTTCAAGAAAGAAAATCTAGACAAGAATGCTATCAGCTGCCTTTGAATGCAAGAAATGTATAAACAACTAAACAAAATACTCTTCTAACTTCAATATAGATATATAAAACAATAGCAACAGTTGCCAATACAGAAACATAAAGTCATAACAACTTATATATAGATTTGAGTGAGTATCTGTATCTTAATATCTTAAAGCGACTTACAGTCCAGCAGCGCATCGCCTGCTGCATCATTTGTCACGCCGCTGATGTGTCGAAAGTTCTCAATGAAATTCGCTGGCGCTTGGAATGTGCGTACTATTTTCTCCTCAGCTCCGCTGGCGAATTTATAGCGCGAGAGCAGAGCCAGTGATTGCATATCATAGCCATGCACCTGAGGACGTGCTAGCTCATGCCAGGTAGTTGGCTTATCCGGCTGGAGCCAAGGCGCATGCAGGCGTGTCGTTTGATCCGCTGAGACAGTCATTAAATAGGCACCATCGTGCTCCCAGGCCAAATCACGCACCTGTCCATAATGACCGCCAACGATTACATTCGAAGTCCAAAGCTGCGGCTGATCCTGACTCTGATTCCATATGTGAAAGCCGCCCTGGTAGCTGTGCGCCATAATCGAACGACCGTCATGCGCAAATTTGCCGCCATAAAAGCCCATTGAATTGCCACCCACTTCTCCGACTCGCACCTGTTCCAGCCAGACGCCCAACTCTGTGGGCGCCCACACTATGACAGTTTTGTCTATGGAGGCGGATAACAGACGCAGTTCTGAAAGAGAAGAGGCTTAATATAAAGAAAGCTCTTAAAAACAAGCATGTGCATACCCTGTTTCTCATTTTTGTGCCAGTGCACGCCATAGACCCAACCCTCGTGGCCATAGAGCACAGACTCCAGACTAATTGCATACCAAGTCTCTCCGCCGAGCTGCAGTAGCTTTTCTTCGACGCGCAGTTCGTCGTTGTCATTCAAGACATCCAGTATGTTCTTTTGTATGGGTTGCTCATTGCCTCTCGGCTCTATACGCCAGAGACGTATAAAGTTATCCTGTGAGCCACTGGCTAGCAGTAAATCATCACCGTCGCAGACAAAGTCCAGGCCACGCACCCAATCCTCATGACCGCTCAGCTTGTGAACACAATTAAACTGCCCTGCAGTGGTATCGCCACTGCCTGCTGACTGCTCTGCCCAGAGGGCAACAGTTTCTTCATCTGTGCTGAAGGCGAGCAACACTTGCTCAGTTTTGGGCAGCAGAGTAAGACGCAGAGTCAAGCAAAAGCCTCCATCTAACTTTACAGTTTGAAAGCAATTGATTTGTTTATCTGCCGGCAGATGCCACAATTTAAGGCAGTTGTCAGCAGCAGCTGTGGCCAGCAACCAGGTGCCATTAGAGCGCAGCACACCGTCCACTGCATTCACTCCACTCGTGTGCCCTTTCAACAAAATATGATTTATGGCGCTCTCCTTGTCCAGTTGCCATAAAACCGCGTTGCCATCGTCTGCGCCCGATATCAAATGCTGCGCATCCAGCCATTTAACTGTATTAACACGCTTTGTGTGCTCCACCAAGGTAAACAATATCTTAGCTGAATTGCCATTGTACTGAAATTAATAGTTTTTTAAATAATTATCAACAATTTTTGCTTATTTGACTTACGCGAGGATCGAGTACCGCAATCGCATTGCAGGCGCCATATGCAATCAAGCCACTGGGTCCCCAATCGGCGCATTCGGTGGTGCGGTTACAGGCCACCGAGGTGTATAAATTCGTCACTTGCATGCCAATTAATTATGCACTTAAAACTCAACTTTTATTTCGTATATTTATGCACGTGCATATAGACGCGCTTAGCAGTAGCCATAAAACTGTTGCCGCTTACAGCTGTTGAAGCAACAGCTGTTGCGAGAGTGCAAGCGAGACAACTATACTGCTAAGCAGACACTTTCGTAGAGAGTTACCAGACTGAAGACGCCAATAAAAATGTTGCAGATAACTTCTAATTATATAAAATAAGAATACGAAAACTATAGAAGTATATATTAATACATATATTAGCATTTATTAAATTTTAATTGCCTTAATGAGATCTTTTTTAATGTAAATTATTTTGTAACATAAACAAACTTATAGCTTATGCTTGCAGCTTGGCAACCCTGTGCTGTTTATAAATAAACATTGTTGTGTCTACACTTGTGTTGCATTGGAGAAAATTAGCGCACGATTGTAATAATAAAAAAAAAGTGCAGCTACAACAACTGGGCGGCCACGTTTAATTAAAAGTAATTTACATAATTGATTCGATTGTGGTGGCGAGCATCAGTTCAACAGCAGCCAGCACACAGTCTGTGCGCTAACTTTTCTTTTCATCTGAGTCATATAAATTTATCTTTGAATTCATTTGATTTTTATCGCTTGTTTAGGTGGAAAAAAATGCATGAATGTGTTTCGCCAGCAGCATAATCGAAGCGCATAAGAAGTTATTTATAGCGCCCGAAGGAGGAAACCACAGAGACTCGGGCACGCCCACCCACGCAAACATCAGACGAAAAATGTCACGCAGCAAATCAAGATTACAAACCGAAGTCTGCGGCGATTGTGGTGCAACGGGTAAGTCCAATTGGAATAGACAGTTTTGAGACGCCAGCTAATGACGCCTTGCTTTCATTTAGATCCCTCCTGGGCCTCCATAAATCGTGGCATTCTCCTCTGCGCCGATTGCTGTTCGGTGCATCGCAGCTTGGGACGTCACATCTCGATTGTAAAATCTCTGCGACAGGGTAATTGGGAGCCATCTGTGCTAAATTTCGTCAACTCTCTGAATGCACATGGTGCGAACAGCGTTTGGGAACACCATTTGCTGGATGGCAGCACAAATTTGTCGGGTGGCAAACACTTGCCACGCTGGCGCAAGCCAACGCCTAAGGATGCACTGCATCCGACCAAGTCGGACTTCATTAAGGCCAAGCACGTCAATCTGAATTTTGTATTGAAGCCAAGCCTGCAGGATGACGACGACTCCAGCAGTGGCGGCAGCAATCTGGAACAAGAACTCAGCCGGCAGCTGCATGCGAGCGTGCGCACCAGCAATCTGGAGACCTCGTTGCGTTTCCTTGTGCAGGGCGCCGATCCCAATTACTATCACGAGGAGAAATGCTCGACCCCGTTGCACATGGCTGCCAAATTCGGTCAGGCCTCACAGATCGAAATGCTGCTCATCTACGGCGCCGATGTGAATGCCTTGGATGGCAATGGCATGACACCACTGGAGCTGGCCAAGGCCAACAATCATAGCACCATCGCTGAACGCTTGCTGGAAGCCATGTACGATGTGACAGATAGACTCATCATGTTCATGGGCGGCAAGAAACCGGATCATGCTGTAAGTCTCAATAATAACTTCAATTGCCATCAGCTAATCCTCATCTAATGCCGTAGAGCGGTCGCCACTTGATCATACCGGAAACAAATGGTGCTGACATCAGCGAGCAATTGAAGATAGCACGCGGCAAGCTCCAGCTGGTGCCTAATAAAATGTTCGAAGAGCTCGTCATGGATCTGTACGACGAGGTGGACAGACGGGAATGTGAAGCCAGTGAGTAGAGTCAGCCACAATCAATTGATTTTGCCATTAACCTACTCCCGCTCTCTTACAGTCTGGTCCACTAGCACGCTCAATGCAGAGCATGCAACTGTGCCATTTTTGCCAGCTAATCCATTTTTGAGCGCCACCCGCAATCAGGTTTGATCGAGTCTCTGACACTGCTTCAACCACACTAATTATTTTCACCTTCCGAATCGACAGGGTCGCCAGAAGCTGGCACGCTTCAATCGTGCCGAATTTAACGGCCTGCTCACTGATGTGCTTATCGATGCGCTGCGTCGCCAGAATATGGCCAATCTGCGGCCATTGGATGCACCGCTGCCAACGCAGTCGCTGCAATTGTTGCCATATCATGGCAACAATTCGACCATGTATAGCAGCTCGTTTGAGCAGAGCGTTCATGATCCAAATCTGTCAGACGATGAGCCAATCTACGATCCGGTGGCCAGCGATGATGACTACGCGCCGGTGCCGCCCATGGCCCAGCAGGTAAACTTAATGCGCCAAAAGATACTCAAGCTGAACAATAGCTTTGGCTAGACTGAACCTAGAGATTAGTTCATTCATCTAGACATACATATACTCGAATATCTCAAGACTTATAATAAACCTCATTGCGTAGCTAGTTGTAAGCTTTTCTAGTCAAGTGATCGCTGATCAAATAAAATTAGTTGCTCATGCTAAAACAGTGTAGTTTAACTATATAATCATTGTTTAAAGTTAGTTCCCAGTTTTCTTAGTGTTTGTTTTGCTTAATTTTGATTTCGTTTTACTTATTATTTATTTAATTTCTTTTATTTAATCAAGGCTATTGTGCACACGCCGCCGCGCAATGCGAACTCACAGAACGAAATGGAAACGCTGCGCAAACAGATCAACGAGTATAAATCCGAAATTAATCAGTTAAAGAACGTGGTGCAGCAGCTCTCCAGCGAGAATACGCAGCTCAAATGCAAATTCAATAGCGCCTCAAACAACAGCGTCTACGATGAGCCACTGTGAGACGCTTTTTATATTTTATTTATTAAATTTCTGTTATTGTTTCTTTCATATAATTTATTTTTTTTATTAGTCGCATTGATTTGAGTCTCAACAGTCCCGACTCTGAGCATGAACCACTCTCGTTGCCAGAGGGCTCTTCGGCAGCTGTTGCTGTGGACAGCACCTCGTCGAATGGTTCGTCCAATCAGTCGACCATCAAACGACCCGCCAGCATGTATGAACGCCGCTTGGCCAACAATTTGGCCAAGGGCAACAACGAAGTGCGCAACACAACGAGCATGTATCAAATGGCCGTCGATGGCAAACCTTTCGGTGAGGAGGTTAAGCTACGTTCCGATTTGGTGACACGCTGCCTGAAGGAACTCATACAGGCCATGCAGCCGGCTACGGAGGCGGAGAAGCAATCTATAGCACCGCATGGGGAACGCATACGCAGCGCAGTCACTGAACTCTTAGCGCTCTATGCCAATCTAGTGAGTGGCCCACATTTCCCATATCAAATTTATCTAATTGATCATTCCAAATAGCCACCAAATGCCAGCGACTTGACACGCGAGACTCTCAAGCAGCTGACGCGCAAAAATATACTCATCCAGCACGAGTGCGAGAATTTGCAGAAATCGATCGAGGCCGAGGATCAACAGGGCATACACAAAAACACGCTGGAAGTGCGCGATTGCGCCTTTCACATAGCCAGCGCCATAAAGACGCTCGTGCTGCAGTTCTGCTAATACCTTTGACTATTGACCGTTTAATTAAGTAGTCGCAAAGCATTTAAGCTACAATAGTATTAATAACAAATTCTCTTTTCACCTACTACTACTCGATACCCCGTCATAACCCCATGGACTAACCAAGTGCTTCCTTAACGAAAAATGAAATTTGTTTGCCAAATGAAGCAAAATATTTTTATTATTTGTATTAATAAATGTTTTACATAAAGCGATTTTTCCAATATGTTTCGCATATCGAAAGGAATAGTTAAATGTTTTAATACCGAAGGTAAATTCTAGTTGAGCTTGAGAAGGAACAGAGTGAAAATGGGGTGTAGAAAAGTAGTAAAAAGACCTTTAAGGTAGATAGGGCAATAAATGAAAGACTAACTTAAGTAAGTGTCTATTGCTGCTGTTAATAGTCTCTCTATTATATATAGATATATGTTGAGAGAGATATATATACTATTATATTGTACATTTAGTTAACTTTGTATTTAAAGCATGGACATTTATTAGGCGCTATTTCGGTTGTCTCTTCTATTGTTTAACTTTATGTAATTGAGTTCTCGTTTGGTCTGTTATATACTTTACACTCACACATACACACACACGAGCAGACAATACACGTACACGCACAAACACTCATATCTAAATTAGTATATATATTATTTATATTTTTTGGCAATTTAATTGCATTTTGTGTTTAAAATATTGCGCCAAATCTCTTTTGCTATGTTTTATTTATAGTTATTTTGTAAGGAATGCTACTCAGAAGGAACGATTTGTGTGTTCTACGTTTAAAATCTTGTAGATCGTGTACTAATTTGTTGCCAGAAATTGTGTTCATATATAGTGTATATATATAGTTGATTGCATTATGTTCAAGTTTTCTAGTTGCTGCACTCCAAAAGTTGCCATAAAAATATAATATATATATATATAAATATGCTCACACAATACCCTATACACATGCATAGCTCTCTAAAATATTGCTTGCTATCCTCACATATCATTTTTCCTGGACCTGGACCGAGCCCATGCACACACGCACACACACTCACACACCTCTAGCTAAGTTTCGTCTGGGGTATTAGTTGGAGACACTATTCAAATTATAATACATCTAAAATATTGCTACAACCTTTGTTGATCAACTGGCTTGGAGAAGTTTGTAGTTTGGAATGTTGTTCGAAATAAATTCCTATAGTTGTATAATATATATATATAGGTATATATAAATAATAGGTATATTAAAAACATTCATAGTTTCATCAACTTAATTTATCGGTTTTTGTCTAAACTTATTTAGGTACACAATATTAATATCAATATCAAGTTTTTCTTTTTAAAGGAGTCTCGTTTTAACTTAGCAAAAATTAATTTTAATATAAACAACAGCAATAAATAACATATCGTAGCGTCTATTCATATATATGTATGTATATATATAGATGTGTGTGTGTATATATATCTCTAGACGACTTCCATCGATGCATAACTAAGCTTGCTTTACTAACTGTCTTTCTCTTAATTCATATCTGTCTTTCCGAATCGGTAATTGCCCTACAACTCGTATCAAGATGC